TACAATATTATTGTCTCGCCTCGTGACAGTGTGAAGCTCCACGAAATCGTAGTCATCGTATGAGCTTTTGTTGACCATTTTTTCCCCCACGAAACGACAAGAAAAACTCGATAAACCCGTAAAGTCTCAACCCACTCTCTGCGTGTAACCACCCGCCGTTGAACGACAACGGTGGTAAATAATAATAAGAACGCGAAAACCGAGCGAGACAATGAAAAAGCTTTAGCTGCGTTATGATGAAACGCGTCACCGTCGTCGTCACAGTTTTTTTATTTTTCGTTTTTGTTCTCCTTATTTTTATCATCGATTAAAACGGACTATAATAATAATAATAACAATCATACATAGTATACCAATCAATACTTCGTAAATTAATATTGTTAATTATTATTGTTGTGACATATTATATTGTCACACCACAGTAAAAACGGTCTTCCTAAATAGCATAATACCTAGTCTAACGTATACCATGCACGTATTTAAGACTGAATAATATTCGCCTGTAGCAGGCCTGTTATATTATTATTCTCACTCTAAACTTTCCGAACGACTTCAGAGTAGTCGGCACGAAGGAAATGGATAGTGGCGAGAGGGTGATGGATAGAAAAAAATATACCTATCGAAAAATCTCATTTCAAGGGTGGTATTAAAGGTACTTATAGTCGACGAGTTCGCTGTTGCACGTAAAAACCGATAAATTCTATCGACCCGATGAAATAAATTGACTTTATGATACGTGCATTTTTTATTTGTGCTAGGTACTTTTGTTTGTATATAAAATAAGTAGGCACTCGGTATACGCATGCATTGATGCATGACATCAAAGCCATAGATATATGTATTTTTTTTATGGCCATGGCACGGCGGGGAGGCGAAAATCACGGTAGAGTTTGACTGAAATAATATGGAAATCAGCTCCCTCATGAGGCTCCCTCATGAGACTGCAGTCTGCACCTCCTACAACAATTTCCGTCTTACTTAGGACTTGGTCACCGTTGTAGAACGTATATAACTTTACTGTATGAGTTTTACGATAGTTATCCTAGCGCCACTCAGCATCCGTCTGCCTTCGGTCAACTTCACGAAGGGTTCGAGACCGAATCACCCAGAATGCCTGACGACAGAGCTGTAAATCGTTCCAGGAAAGGGAAAACTATATTCTTTCCTGCGGAAGTGCATCGAGGGAGGTGGTAGAGGAATGTATGAAAAGAAATTGTTCTAAACAACGGCAAGGGTGTCTCGGATGACGTATTTATGCATATATATACGCATTTATATACCTATATATATTATATTATATTATTATCTATGAGATGTGTGCGCAAATTGATTTTTCATGTTACTCAACGGCGTTTTCACGTTACGATGATGATAATAATATTATTTACTTCTCTGTGATATAATTCACATTATACTATTTTAGAAGTGTCTGGTCCTTTGGGGTGGTTAACATCCGTCCGGGGGCCGTAAAACATCATGTTGACCCTACTGCAAAAGTCGTTGTTTACGATACGTTCGTTATGAACATAATATTTCGAACGTTTATCAATCGGCAGGGCTTACACGTCGAAGAAGCTCAGAATCACAGCTAAAACGACATAAAAAAAAGTATAATAATAATAATTCTTCGTATCGCACCACGCAATATATAACAATAGTGTTATGTTTGTGTCCAATACTACAGTAAATGCGTTTAAATTTTAAACTTCGTCCATTACACTGGCACGTAGGTAATATCCGAACAAACGAAATATCATTACACTCAGCACCAAAACATGGTCATATCCACACGACGGTCTTCGTTGATTTAATTTCTCCTTGGCCACAAGGGCAGAGGCGGCGGCCCGTCGAGCTCAGTTCACTGTGTTTCCACAAAAACCGTTCTGCCTACCTATCTAAATCGTCTCGCCACAATATTATTATATTAAGAGGACGTTACACCCGTAATATTTAGCGGTAAAAACAGGTCTACCAGAAACAAACAAAACGCTGCCAAAAAATGGTTTTAGAGTAAAATTACCTATTATGAAATGTATAGAGAAGAATTTTTAGGAGACAACCTCATTGGCGTTTTTTTAAATATAAATTATTACAAAAGTTACAGTTGTTTAAAAAATGTAAAAAAAAAAGGTTTTTTTTCCTATTATAAGGAGCTATATATTTAAAATAATACAAAACCCCGATGAGGTTGTCTCCGAAATATTGTTTTCTCTAAATCTCATAATAGGTATTTTCGCTCTAAAATCGCTTTTTAATGCTGTTTTGTTTGTTTTCCGTAAACATGTTTACGTAGATTGATTTAATATTTTCATTGCTGTAATGTGCTGCTACCTGCATGCCGTTAAGAGGTCGGTCGCGATTTCCCCCCACTACTCCAAAAACTGAATATCCGCTTCGACTATCGCGCGGTGACGGTCGGTCGATGGTTATCGGAAGCTTCCAGGAATAGACCGAACTAATATAAACAATATCATTATTATCTATCTAATACTATAAAATGACAATATTTTATAAGCTAATAATTGTTTTTATTTTTATTATAATATTAAAATTGGTCTTGACGATTGATAGCATTCCACCTACGATCTACAAACTCTTATTCGTTTTACTATTTTATAATATTATAAATTAATATAAATTATAAATTATTATTATTACGGACATACTAATATTTTCAGATAGTAGGTATACCTGGTATCTACCTCAAAGGGCTCAAAGTCCTATGCATAATTTATAATAACTCAAGTACCTACACCACCTAATAAATATCCGTCTTTTCATACGGAATACATTCTATACATTATGGTAAGTTGCTGGTAAAAAATACTATTGGTATTAGTATTTATTATTTTATTTTTACACAAGTATGCCTATTATGACAATTAAACAAAAATAAAAAAATAAAATGTCAAAGTAAATATGCACTTTTAAATTAAAAATGGTCAAATATGTAAAATATGCAACCATACATTTTGATTATAAACTCGTATTGTACTATTGTTATGAAACAAATTCCTATGTTACTAAGCTATGTTTTGAATGATTATTGAAAAACATGCAAATTCCTAGAAGTCCCTAATCCTATACTCATTACGAATTATGTTAGCGGAAGTCACAATATGAGACTATGAATAGCTGTATTTTCAATAATTGGTACAAAAATAAATATTCAATTTTGATGCATATACACAACCGTCACAACCATTCCTCCTGGGTAATTCGTTGTGATCACATCATTTCTTCGGGATTTCTGTGTCGTCGTGTTCAATTTTTTTTTTTGTGAATTTTGTATTATTATTTTCCATTTTTTTTTTGACAATGGCAAATAAAGAAAATAAGCAGAAACGGAAACGGTCATCTAAAAAAAAATTCACTAGTTCCCTTTCACTACGACGAAACAAAAAAATTAAGTAAGTATATACAAATATAAATTATATTATATATTAGAAATGTTAGAAATGTAAATACTTTCATTGTCTGCTTGAACGTTTATAGAAAAATAAAATAAAATAATTATATTTAGGGCTCTACCCGTTCAATAAATAAATTAAAATATTTCTATTCTACTCTACGATTCTAATAACGATTCCAGTTTCGGGCGGATTAAGGGGGGTCCAGGGGTCTGTAAAAATAATACCTTTGAAATACTATCATTAAAGACCGGATTCCTGTGCAATTGCATCTTTTTATGGCGTGTTCTAAATTCAATAGAAACAAGCTACAAATCCAAATCAAGAGATGTAGATTAATTTAAAGAAAGTTTTATGTTGCACAAAATTGCACGTTTTTGGGTTTTTGCACAAAATTGCACGTTTCGGTTTTTTTTTATAAAAATGTACTTTTGTACAAATATTTTGTATTTTGTATTATTTTTATCAGTGCTATATTATATTGTTATACAAAGTATTGGACTTTTATATCTAACAATATAATTATATATATATATATATATATATAACGATATAATACGAAGTAATTAAGAGGACGTTATACCGCTTATTTTCAACGGTATAAACATGTCCACGAAAAACAGTCATAACTTCACTAAAAAGTGGTTTTAGAGTTAAAATATCTATAATAAAATGTATAGAGAACAACTAGTGTATAGAGGTCAACTAATGTCTAATACTATTAATTATACTAATTTTATAATAATTTTTTTATATTTCTGATATTAACACAACAAAGTATATTATCGTTGTAGAATTGTGAATTAGGGGTGTGGGGGCAAAGCCCCCACGGGTCTGTGTGATAAAATTTAGGTGGTGGTGGTCCAGCATTTATACTTGCCTCATAAAATAAAATAGTTCACGCCGTTCACGCCTACATGTTAAAAAAATAAAAATTTTCAAAATTGGCGTGGTAGATAAACAGAATTTATACCTAAACTTTATTCTATTGTTATAAAATATTATGTTTTATATTTTATTTTGAAGTTTTACTTCTAATCCATTACCATTTGGTGAGACGTCAAATGAAACTGATATTTTGACTACGTTGCAGTTGGTTCCTAACAGGTTTGTTAATTTTTGGTACCTAATACGCTCATACACTCATTATAATTTATTTTAATTTTTATACCTGCAAAATATTTTTGATAATTTTTCTTTGAATTTCGATTAGATTTAGTGTAGCTAAATATTTTTTTATTTTTTTTTTTTTTGGTATTTAAACTTTTTATTTATTTAGAGAAATTGGTTCATTAAATAATCTGTCTACATCAGATAATGTGAACAATAACCTAGTTTCAAGTACTCCAAATTGTAATTTACCAAAAGATTGTATCAGTTCACCGAATTTAAAATATAATAATGATATTTCGACTGTTATGGAGCATAGCTTATGTACAGAATACAGTCACCCTAGTTCCGAAGATACCATAACTTCATAGTATGTTTATTTTAATTAATATATGATGATGAATTATGTAAGTTATTACTTACAAAATAGTTAATTCAATTTATTTTACCAGTTTTTGCGGTGGTAGGAGGATTGTTGATATGAAACACGTATTTTTTCAAATACAAAATGAGCAATGTCATACTCCAGGGCTAGGATGTTCGTTTATGAATGTTGAACTAATAAACGAAATTACAAAAGGTTTTGCTACAAAATGGATTTTTAAATGTAAAATGTGTAACCTATTGACTACACTGGAATCGGAAAACAACGATCTAAACTATATACCGATTAACAAAGCAATTGTTAATGGCACGTATGCAATTGGTATAGGATACACACAACTAGCTGAATTTTCGGCAAGTTTAGATGTTCCATGTATGGCCCCCTCGACATATATAAAATATAGTGAGGAAATAAGTATGCATATGGAAACTACAGCATGGAGTGTTATGGAACTCGCTGGTATAGAAGAAAAAAAGTTGGCTTTTGAGGCAGGTGATATAGATAGTGATGGTATACCTATGTGCCCTGTTGTTGCTGATGGCCAATGGAGTAAGCGCAGCTACAAGACGAAATACGACGCATTTTCAGGAGCGGTAATATTTAACTGTGTTATAATAAATAAAAAAAATTTAAATACATTTTTAAAAAGCTCTGCTGTATATAGTAGACGACGAGTACACCTCGTCACTGTGATGGATGTGCTAAATTATTTGAATCGAGTGATAAACCATTGTATACGGTACAAAGTAGTCGAAATAATGATTTGATTTTCAGCTTTAGTATCTTGTTCGACGGGAAAGTGAATCTACTTGGTACTTTTGAGAGGTCAAAATTTAAAATTCCCAATAGTTTTCAAAAGCTCAGGGAAAAATTAAGGAAAAACGGGAATTTTTACGCAAAATAGATTTTCGAGAAAATTCGATGTCAGTTTTTGGTGTAACTCTAAAAAAAAATACCGTAGATACACGACATTTTCACTGGTTGTTTATATTAGCATTTACTATACACGATATAATTTTCAAAATATTTTGATTTGTTTTGAACTGTTTACGGACATATTCAGATTAAAACTTTTTTAATTTTTTTTTCTATAAATGTCCATAAAATTTTATTTATTGGGTAAAAAAGCATGAGAATTGAATAGAAAGCTGCTAATATATTGTTTCAAAGGCAGATGAAAAATATTAAAAATACATATTAGGCATAATTTTTTTTCAATTTACAGCAGAGCGACATCCACTTGCCCACCTTTTTATATTTATCTATATAAAATTTAGTACATTGATTTTTATCTTTATTTAGAATTTAGATACATTTTTAGTTATCTATTTCCAACATTGGACATTAGTCATATAATTTGGTACTTATCTACAGGCCACTATAATTGGATTTCGGACGAAAAAAATATTATTTATTGGAATAAGAAATCGGTACTGTGTGATTTGCGAAAGAGCGAAAACCATCGGTAAATCTCCCATGACCCACAAGTGCTTTTTAAATTGGAAGAATGGTGCTACCAGCATAGAAGCCGATGCTATAGCAGAAGGATTTTTATGCAGCGTTAAAATGCACGGTTTAAAATTTAAACAGTTAATTGGTAAATAAAATGTACCAACATATTTATACAATATACTGCTATAATGAATCATAAAATCACATATTATTATATCATGATGTTTATTTGTTTTTTCTTCAGGAGACGGAGATAGTAGTGTTTGTAAAAGATTAAATGAAGTTATGCCGTATGGACCTACATTTTTAATTGAGAAAATTGAATGTAGAAATCACATACTTCGTAATTATGGACAAAAAATAATGCATTTAACAAGGAAAACTGAGTACCCGGGTTTTATACGAAAATTTATATCAAAGAATGTACTAAGATTTCGGACAGCTATAACAAAAGCAATAAAGTATAGAAATCGAATTGATGAATCACATTATAACAAAATTGAAGGTAAACATTATTAGCGAGATTATTAGTTTCCAAATTTTTTACAAATTTTAAATTTAAAATTAAACTTAAATACATTTTTTTTAGGATTACGTAATGATATTTTAAATAGCCAATATCACATTTTTGGTCAACACTCCAAGTGTGACAAATATTTTTGCACGGGAAAAAAAATTGGAGAGCAAAATATTGTATCAGAAGTCATAAAATGCGGGTTAATGACTGAAATGTCCACTGCTCTTCGTCGTGTAGTTAATAATTCTAAAAGCTTGTTACTTGACGTGGATAATAATATCTGCGAGCAATTCAACAGCCTAATCAACAAACACATCGCGGGAAAGAGAATTAATTTTTCTCAAAAGCAATCATATACTACTCGAGTTTATGCAGCTGTGGTAGCTTTTAACTCAAATGGTAATTTGATAAGAGAAATCCACAAAAATATCACTAACAAAAGTCCAGGTACTCTATTATATTTTCAAATTAATTCATATTGTAAATTATAATAAAAATAAATAAATAAATATTTTTAATTTTATTGTTGCTAAAAAATATTTAAAGTATACTGCAGATAAAAGAAAAAATTTAAAAACACGCCGAGCTCTATTTCGAGCATCTGGAATGTACAAAAAAAAAAATATGTCCAATGGTCCAGATGAAAATTATGGACTAGCTCAACCTTTAGATAATTTATTACCTACTGACGAGTTGAAAAATAAAAAAATTGAATTCATTCAAACAATTACCTTACCCATAACGGTCAGAGAACAAATCGAGTTGGAAACGCGAAATCAATCTGACAACCAAAAGTGGTTTATTGAACGGAGAAACAGACTAACTGCGTCAAACTTTGGTAAAGTTTGTAAGATGCGTCCAACTACATCCTGTAAAAGAACCGTATATGACATATTATATGGTAATTTTACAACCCGAGCGATGGAATATGGAAAAATTACTGAAGTCATCGCAAAAGAAAAATTTGAAAAATTAACAAATCTTAAAGTCATGGATTGTGGTTTGTTTATTGACGCAGATAAACCATACTTAGCCGCTAGCCCTGGTAAGTACGATGTATTAAGAAATCAAAGTTTTACGATAACTAACTAGTTGTTTGGGGGTGATAATGTGATATAATATACAACTAATATTTAAATATATATTTTATATACTCAGATGGTTTAATTGGCAATACAGCTGTTTTGGAAATTAAATGTCCTTTTTCGATCAAAGATACGAATGAATTACAAACAGCGGTCGACAATAAAAAGGTATACAGAAATACAGAATATTAATTAATTTAATAAATATTTTAGTAATATGATTGTTTTGATAATTTACAGATACCTTATGTAACTATTGTAGACGGGAAAATGAAATTAAAAAAAACTAGTTCATACTATTATCAAGTACAGGGACAATTAAAAATAACAAAAAGGAATGTATGTTATTTTGTTGTATACTCCGAAAAATGGATTGAATATGACGTAATCGATTACGACGAAAGATTTTGGTATTCTAAAATGGATATTCAGTTAGAGACGTATGTTTACAAAAATTTAAATAATACAATTTAACCTATATAGTTTGTTGCATTGAAATACCTATTAGCTATTACATAAGATTGAAAATGTGTAAATTGTAATAGTTATAAATTAAAATGAATAAATTGTAATAATATACCTATTTCACAGATTTTATAAAGAATGTCTTCTGCCAGAATTGGTTGAACCACGGTATGGAAAAAGACTATTAAAATCTGACATTTTCGAACCTACACATATATCGGAAAACATCAAAAATAAAAACAAAATCATACTAGACGTATCTCAGTAATATTATTATTGTAAAATGTTAATAAATTGTAACATGCATATTATACGTATCATAGTATTATACCTTCTAATTGTTTTTATTTTAATATAATTATTATTGTAATATAATAATAAGTAAATTATCCAGTAATCGAATCATACAAAAATCTATATCTATTGGATTACCAAAATTGGTATATATAAATATACTGTCTAGCTGATCCCGTGCACTTCGTTGCCCTTAAAAATTTGGAAATATAAATCAAGCTTTGTTGTATTGCCGTCTTTACAATCTATATATTGATACATATATTTAGGTAAGCAGTAACTTTTAAAAAAAATAGTAGACCCTCAGTACAGCAAACGTCAATTAAAAAGCGACATTATTGAACCTCCTCACATAATTAAAAATATTAAAATTATGAAAAAAAAAAAACAAACAAAATTTAGTCTTCATAATAACTACAAGTTGTACATAATATACATTTTTTTTTATACATGTATTACTAATTTGTAAACTACTATTTGTATAATTTTTTTTTTTTAAGTTTAGTTGTTAATAAACGGAAAGATGCTAAGAAATGGGAAAATGCAAATTATGCTGAAGTTAAAAATAATTTAATATTGAACAGTTGAACGTAAAAGATGTATTTGTTTAGGTACTGTTAAATTATATTTTACTGTATGTATTATATTTGAATGAGTACTAGTGCAATAACTACAAACTAAGCTATGTTGTGTTGCTGTTTTTACAGTCTATATATTGGTGCATATATTTAGGTAAGCAGTAACTTTTCAAAAAAGATAGTTCGAATGGGTACGCGCGGATATTACAAATAATACCGCGACGTTTACTGTGTGAATTTTATATTGACGGGATACATCACAGTCGAACGTTCATGAAATAATAATCGGCGCTCCCGAGACGCGCTGAATGAGCAGTGCCAGTAGTGCCGCCGACTGCGAGTAGTAGGCGGGGCTTAGACGTCGCGCGCTTGCGGATCCCGAAAACACCTAATAGCGCGTTCTCTCGGCCGTTGCATACGTAACACTTTGGGTATCACGTCCTCTTAAGGCGTCAGCGTATTGCCTCGACACACGTCTTTAGCGGGATTTCACCTCAACGCCGTCTCGTCTTCCGGACGACCCCCCACTGTCAATACCCTCTCCTTCCTTCGTTTTCAGCTCCAACGTCTTCCACTTCTTCGTCGTCACCACCACCACCACCACCACCACCACCACCGTCGTCTTCGTCATTGACATCATTTAAGTCGGCTCCGGCAGACCATCAATCTGACACGCCATTTTTAAAGAGGCTTATCCGCTTGCCAAGTAACAAATCATTAGTTCGTTAATGACGTGTGCGCGTTCAGCGAGCGTATTGTGTATGTGAGTGAGGTGTGTGTGTGTGTGTGTGTGTGTGTGTGTGTGTGTGTGTGTGTGTGTGTGTGAGTCTGTGCTCGGGGGCACAGACAGATCGAAATCGTTTGTGGCTATGAATGGGTTCAACGGGGTTGGAGATGGATCGATATGTACGAGGTTTGCTAGCTGCAGGTCGGAGACGAATGAAAGGGTGTGAGCGTCTGGATAATAGTTGTCGTATAACATAGAACCAAACGAGGAACACTCAATGGGACCGTATCGGTCTTTATTACTATATTGTAGTGTTCAATGACGTCGTGCAAGTGTAGTTGAGTATGTCGTGTGTGCAAATTTGTGCACCGCGATTGTCGACCCACGAGTTTTTTGACTCGGTATTTTGAACGTGATGTCGTAGAAACACCCCCCTCCCCCTCCTCCATGTGCCATTGCAGTACTGATGGTACGACCACATCACGACGTACTTAACTCTTGGGCCTCGGGCTCTGTAAACAACAAGCAGCCAGACGTTGGCGTGTTTCTCGGACAAGATTTTCTATAACCGCGTGCGTTATCGGAACACACCCGTGCCACGAATCAACGACGATTTTCATGTGTTGGTAAAAAAAACAAAACCTACCGAAATAATATCATTAAAACCTCAGAACTCAATTGAGGACGCCCACTCATTCATGACGTGTAGTCTCCATAGTTTCAATCGAATAACATGGCGAAATTGGTGTTCTGCAAATTTTGTGTAGGATTTTTTAATAATAGAGTGAATAATATTACTGGAATATCAACGAGCTTAAATATAAGAATGCATAATCATCTGTGTTTCCACGTCTTATTCACAATGTTTTTATTTTTAGCAAGCCATGAGCATAACTAAAATTAAATGTAATAATTTACACACTCATTGCTATAAACTCGAAAACTTAAATATCGTAAAAAACGTTACACACGAGGACACGAGGTACCTACATTGTAGCTATAAATTACCTACAGGTACTCTAAATCGGAGCTGCTGATCGCATATTATTTGCTACTCAAGACGGGAGACAACACGTCATGTGGGTGTGGAGTCCTCTTGACATAATCTATAGACTTTATAATATGTTGTAGAGCAGGTAGATTGTGTACGGAATTCAGAAACTGCACGCCATCGCGTGCGTGCGTGAGTGTGATATTTCTATATTATGTTTGTTTGCGTTTTTCATTGTTTATTTATCGTACTCTGCCACCGCCGCCGCCGACGCCACCACGGTATACCTATATGCTTGAGCAAATTGAATTCTAGAAGTTTCCCAGATGAAAATAAAACCCAGTTTTATCCTCGGATGTATGGATATTGTTATTTTTCTCGACGTAGCAGTGATACTATCGATTGCAGTGTACGGTGTCGATAGGTGAACGCGGGCTTGGCAGCGGCTGCTGCAGGCGCGTATACGGACGTCCGCGTTATGAAAAATACGAAAATAACGCCGACGTACTGAAATATAAAGCACCGAACCGGTATTTCCATCACGTTTTACGATAACGCAGAGTAGTTGTTTTATGGCGGCCGGATGATGGTCGTAAAAAAACATTAAAAAACAAAAAAAAAAACGCTTCGGTATCTCCCCGGGCGAGGGGGCCGTGGCTGCATACCCTCGGCCCTCTCATGGTCCGCGATTTCCCGCGGTCCCTCTCCGGTTATGGTGCACTTCACCTTTGGATGCTTAAAAAATATTTAAACCAATAAACGGATTACGCGAGCGTGACCATCGCCGGCGTCTAGATTATCGGTGGAGGGTTATGTCACCCAGAGGTAGCCTTGCACAAACCATTAGTTACCGGGCGGGACCAGGTCTTACTGCACCGCCGGGGATCCGGGACCGGGTAATAATCGTTCCGTCGCCGTCCTAACGATCCCCATGGGCCGAATTCCGGTTCTCAATTTGTAATCCGGCGTCGGGAACGGATGTGAGAGGGCTGGCGAGAGAAAGAGAACGGAAATTGAGTGGGAAATAAAGCCTTTACACTGTAAGGACAAAAAATAATAATAATAAAAATAAAAAACAACTGGGGTGAAAAAAAAAGAAGAAACAAAAAGAAGGAATTGGACATTAAGAGGTTTACGCGCACACTGATTGACGGTGCCTGTACACTGTACCTACACTACAGTTTAGGCATTTATAATTAGGCCACATTTTAATTAATCCCTTTTGTTTTATTTATTTATTTTTATTCAAATTACAAATTGTCGGCTTTGTCTCCCGAAACCGAATCGAATAAGTACAGTCGAGTTTGTATAATCGCGGTTACAGCATTAGTATAGTTTAGTAGTTGTTTTCCTTAGATATATGTTATTTACATTTCCGTAAATCGGTTGGCAATTTATTCGACAAAGAAAAAGTTTTTATTCACTGATAATATTTTCTATAGCACTGTAAAAAAAATATATATATATAAATAAAATACCATAAACTAAATACTCCTTTTATATTTCCATTTTGTCGCACTTAATTCTTAAACTACTTTGCTCCCATCATTGTTTCTATACAAAATATAAATAAAACAACCGAAATAAATTGGTCGTATAAATTCAATGTTGGTCTAAATTAATGGTTAGTGAATATATATTATGATTGTTGGAATTATTTATTCGGTTAAACTTCCCCTTAATGTTTTTCTTTATTGAAAAACGAACTTAACATACTTAAAATATACAATGAGTGCTTTGTGGTTTAATAATTTACTTGTTTATTTTGAAGGATATGAAATAGATTTGCTAAATAAAAAAAGTATATTAAACTTAATGATATTATACCATATTATTGTCGAAAATTGTATTGTTTACAAATAAGATCGATAACGACCAATAAAATGTATCTGACCATGTGAACAATTGAATAAATAATAAACCAAATTTATTTTGTAAACGTGGCTGTGTCATCGAATCCGTTGTTCAGTGCGAGTTTGTGTTTACGAAGAATGACATAACGTATCTCCTCAAGTCTACAAGTTCTTATGAATTAATTCAATTAAACCATAGATATATAAAACAATGTTTTATATATCTATGAATTAAACTAAGAAAAGCTACTCAAATAGCGATTTCTAAAATAAACAATCGTTTCTATTTGGTCACTTCAGGATTCGGTAAACAATCCGAAGTGCATCTCGATTCGTCCAAAAATAGTAAAATATGTTTCGACAAAAATAACTGAAAAATAGATTTTGATAAAACCTGATAATAATTATTCTACTGAGATATTCATATATTTTAACTGTTATTTGATTCTCAACAGTGAAGATTACTGCTAGTCTGAAGTCATTTCAGCACGATTTTGAACACATTATATTTGACTTGCAGTTAGTACATGCTTGTTGTGTATTTTACTATAATATTAAAGTATAACGTTTATGATATTATTAAATTTATCGTCGTTATTATGTTAACGACTTTGGTCACCGTCGGTAGAGACAAAATTGATACATTGGCCGTTATCGATCACCACGCGAGACCAAGAAAATCGTCTAGGCGCCCATTGTCCGATGTTCATTGACAAATCGACAGTAGCGTAGTCGTCTCTGCCGAGACCGATGATAATACTTTGTCCCGCGTTTATTTTTCGCAATTTTCGTTTTTTTTCATTATTATCACTATTATTATTTTACGATTCCGTACCATGGCAATTGGAATGGCATGAAAGAAAAAACGCCCAGTTAGATAAATAATAATAATAATAATAATACAATAAATAGCGCCAGGACCTTTTGCTATGTATACTCCGGATTTCCCGACACGATGCTACAAGATTTGTGTCGGTATATTTTGCAACGATCCGCTTCTATTCGAGTACAATATCGTATTATTATTATTATTATTATTATGCATATAATATACATTATACATACATATGAACGGGTGTACGGTATGTATATTGGTATGCACCCGAGTCGCGCCTTTACACGCTGCCGAAAGCCCTTTATGAATATATTTCCGAACGAGCATAAGAGAATCATGTAAATCAGTTATAGGGAAACCTATGAAAATATGATGTGTACGACACCATCGCCACCACCGTCCCTTTTCCGGCTACAAAAGTGTATCGCCGAAAGATAACCTAAATACTAAACAGACGATCGAGAGAGGAAACGATTTTTTACATATTATATTTTTTTTTTTTTTAATCGAACAAACTCTTTATATCATTTTGCGATTGATAATCTTTCGAGAGTATATTTTAGGAATCTATTATTGTAATAGTGCTCAACTAGGCCTATCTCGC